TAAAGAAAATACAATTTATCGCCCAGCAATGAAAGAAAATATACACATAAAAGAATAAACAGTACTGAAGCCCTTTCTCTCCATCAAACATTCATCATTTTCTGAATTCTTTCTTGGTTTAGACTTTTCTACTGGCTTCTATGCAAAGTAATTTCTTCTACAGCAAAGCAGATTTTTCACAAACGTCGACAAGTTAATCTGGTACATAGGACAGGCTCTGACACTTAGTGGGCTCTCCAGAAAACAACTATATAGAAAGCTTTGTCCTCTCACTGATAAGTCTTACTATAGCTATCTATTAAAAATTACAGGGGAAGGAGAGAGAGAATATCTTTTACTATCCAAGCAGGGTGTAGTCTAGCCAGTTAGTTGCTCAGAATGCCTATACAGGGGTACACCAAGATCACACAGGAAATAGGTGAAGTCTGCTATCAAATCAGTTGGAAGAGGCCATTAAAATCAGCCTTCTGCTGCTGCTCCTCTCTTCAGTGTTTTGACTCAAAGGCTGTCTCTGCCACACATACACATGGAAAACCTGCAGGTCCCTGCAACGGAAAAGTGCAAACAGGACAAGAAGGTCTTTCCTGGCTCTAGGACTGGATTTACTCTACGGGTGATTAAACTCAACTCAGAAACTTAAACAGAGAACGACTTGCAGATGGTTTTCCCAACTGCCAGCTGTGAAACATCTATAGACAGTGCAGATTACAGCAGTCCATAGGTGGCCTAAAAGGTTGTCCTTTATTAAAAGGCTACTGCACATAGAAGAATGGAGACAGCTTGATTGCCACATACTCCGTGAAATCAAATGTAAAAAAGTTATCTCCTTCCTTCAACGAGAGTTAAAAGAATTCAAAGGCACTTCAAAACTAAATTGTGAGTGTAGAAGTTTTTATACTGGCAACTAATAAGAACAAACTAACATCAAGAAACCCCACATAATGGTATGTGCTTTTAATTTATTCAAGAGGAAGAAAAAAAAATCATCAAAAAAAAAGTCTCAAAACTCCTCCAAACCTATGTCAACCTGCTAACTATACAATCCATTTCAGCTTGAAAATATATTTAAGACTTTCAGTTGCACTTTTCAAATAGATGTAGAGGCACTATTTTTATAGTGATTTACACGTATCTGAAAGCAAGCTAATTCCAAACACGTGCTGTGGCTTAGAAATCTAGGTTTAAACAGCCAAGCCCACCAAACGTCCCATAACTTGAAAGCTGTGCCAAGAGCATTAAATCAATAGGTTTGGCTCAGAATAGAGACTCTCTTCCAGATGCCCACTGAATCTTTTCCTAGCTCACATCGGCTGCCTTTATGCTACAAAGCAGAAACATTCGACTCCACGTCAACAGTAGCTTTAAGCCAGTATCAGGAATTTCACTGAGCCTGGAAATAATAAATATACTCAGACAAGCTAGGACAGAGGCAAGAAGAAATGATGGGACAAGAACTAGAAGAACAAACTTGGGGGGAAATAAGGAAAGGTAAGGGCAGAAATAGGAAACTTTATGGGAAACACTATACTTATTGCTTGCAGAAATAAATGTTTTTGCTAATTTTCAGTCAGCTTTTTATCTCTTATGTTCTTATACCTGGGAATAAAAATAATCAGTGCAAAGTCATATTTTTCAGATCTCAGGATTTTCAACAAAGAAACATGCATTTCACTGACAGCAGTCACCAAGTTTACAATTTCAACAGAAAATGTTTCAAGATGGACTTTGTGGCTCTGGCAAAAGGCTTGATTTCGTTCTTCATTGCAGCTTCACTTTCAATAATGACTTGTTCACCTGGATCTTTGGTTAAGTTCTAGTTGATAAAGAAACTGGGGTGCTACAAAGGAATAGTTTCTCAAAGAAAAACAGGGTAATCCAACGAGTTTGCTTCTACATTTTTGCTTACTAAGCATCTGAATCTTAATGGAATACACTTCACCACAAAAAACTTACGAGTTTTAATTTACAAAATACCATATAATCACGATTGAATCTCATTATAATGCTTGTAAGTGTAACATTTATTGCTACAAACAAAATTATACCACAGTGTCCTGAATAACCAGCTGTGTAGAGTATTTCTAATCTAAGCTTAGTTTGATTACTTGCAGCAATACACCTACAAGAATCTGCTGACAAGAATCTGGCTGTTAAAGAGCTTAAAAAAAAGGAAGAGGGCAAGAAGGGTTATACTTGCTATTGTGGTACTAATTTGTCTCAAACCAAACCACCATTTTGTGTTATTGCTGCCAATTTTGTTTTAGAAAGAGTTGCATGGCGTTTCCTCCAAAATACTTTCTGTTCTGAACCCCTGTTATGTCCAATTTATTGTTATGCTAAGGTTATTTAGTAACAGATTTACCTGTGTTTCCTTTTCTTCTTTCTGGGAGGAGTATCAACATCTTCAGCAGGGACTGGAGCAATAATACTAGATTCCTTTACTCTAAACTCATACACCTAACAAGAGATACCATAATACATCCACGATAAATCTCTCACTAGTAGAAAGTTTCTCATTTTCTAACTTAGTACGATTTCCTCCAACCAACAACTTACAGATTATATCCAGTCATAGTCTCTTTTCAAAACATTTAAAGCTGATTATTTTTGTCATTTAAGAACAGACAGTATAATTTAAACCTGCAAATTTAATTTAAAAACAGTTTTAAAACTAACTTTTATATATCTGTGGCATGAATTCTGGATCATAGCATTCTTGAGAAAACCAAGAAAATGAACTAATTTTCTCTTTTAGTAATTAATACTAGTATTTCTATACTTCGGTTTTAAAAGTAAAACGCTATCATCCTTAGTAAGTAGTTTCCCTTCTTACCTGCCTGCACGTCTTGGTCCCAATCAGTCTGGCAATTGCACAAAAATTGTCATAGTAGGTACCAATAAGAACTCTAAACATTGAGGCTTCTGCACCACTCCATTCCACATTCTCCGGAGGCTCAATATTTGGCTTCATCTTTATCGGTGTTTGACACCTAGAATTCGCTTCTGTAATAAATAGAGAGAGTATGGGTCAATGTAAAGCTATGTTTCAAAAATCTACAAAGCCCTTAAAAAAGTAAAATTAACTGTAGTTAAAAATATCCCAGATTGCTGCTGTTGTTTTCTAATCCAAGTGCCACAACAAAACAGCACTTTTCACATAGTTTGAAAAGAAATTAAAAATTAGGTAAGAGTAGCTATTGAAATGACATGATCTCACCTCTACATATAAATCAAGACAATCTAGAAATGGTTTCTAACATTGTGTGACTCAACTTGGCTTTATGCTTTCAAGCACAGCAGCTAAGTGAATAAAGCAGCATTGAGCACCCTACCGGAAGAACTGGATGTTTCATCTTTCTTTTCTTCTTCTTCTTTATCGTTGTTTTCTCCTCCAGTTTCAGTTCCAGCTTCTCTATCGCTATCTGTGTCCTTTGATTCCAACACATTTATTGTCGGTGTGCTGGGCCTGCTGGTGTTGTTTGGAAGTCTTCCCCTCCGGCGGCCACCTGGGCGTTTTGGCGGTGTCTTTATACGCTCAGCAGTCAAGGCAGCTGCAAACTCCTTTGCACCTTCCTAAACACAAAACATTCCAATTCTTTTACTGAAAATTGTAGTGTGGTCAGGGGCTGGGGCTGAACATGGTCTACTTGCATAAGTAGACTATGCGAACAACTTATTCTACAACTAATGCATTGTTCTACAACTTAACCATGTACACACAAATTTCATTAAAATGTACTCTAACCAGAAACAAATACTTTTGATGCTACCTTTACAAAGCATTTATGTCATATATTCCACTTTCATTTTGGCTGTCAAGTGAAAAATAATTCAATAGTAAGTTTCCATTTTCCTAGGCGACAGGAAAAATGAGAATTTCCCACAGAGAATACCCTTCACAATAGGAGAACTCTCCTTGCACATGGCACCTAAACAATATGCATTTTGCATTTTTTAAAATGGAATCACTGGTAATTTGTTTTCTAGTGGAAAGGGGTATGACAATGCTTAGCAAGTTTTTAGATTGGAAAATTGCATGGTTTCTCATACTAAAAAAATTAGGGAAAGTATGAGAGAGATTTGAGAGATCTGAAATTATATCACTAAGGATTTCTGTTTATTAATTTCCATCCTATTGTTTCTTGAGAGCAGAATTACTGGATGGAACCCACCTTCAGCAAACTAAGACAACCTCAAAATTTTTAGTTGATATATAGTTTTGATAGTTTTGATATAAGATTGGAAGTTAACTCTTTTCTTTTGCACAAACTGAAGGTAACACACTTGACTGCAAGTGGCCCACAAGTATCTGCGCTATCATAGATCCAGCACGTCCTTACACTAAGTGCAGCTTGTTATACCGCAACTAGCACTGCTCCAGTGAATTCTAACGTTTCAAATTCTCTTACCAGATGTTGATAACAGTGCGGTCCACAAGGCTTATTATCTAATGCTGTTTCTGTATTCTTTCGCTTATAAGTATTAGGAGTTGCGTGGAATGCTGTTGAAACAAAACGTCATATTTGTAAGCTTTAATACCAAAAACTACATTAAATATATAACCTCAAATGGTATCCAAAACACAAGGTTTACCAAGACTTTACCAAAACTAGAATAAAAAAAGATAACAAATGGAAAAAACAACCAGCCAAAAAAAATGCAAAATGAACCCTATTTAGTGACATTTGACTTACCACTTAAATACATGGAGGCAGCAAACTGGTAAGTTTTGCATACGCCCATTTACATCAGTGAAGACAATCATTACATTTATTTCACGCATCAATGAAGACTTCCTATATCTCCTTTCCCAATACACAGAACAAACTTTACTTCTGTTGCCATATTAAACAGAATTATTCAGGGCTTCTAGTAATGCATGATCACCTCTCTCTCAGTCTGTAAGATTCAGGTGTTCAATTTCTTGTCAAAAAAAATCCAACCCCACAAACTTTGGAAAGGTAACAGACCCACTTTTTATTTTTGGTAGTAAGAACAACACAAGCACTTTTAGTTTATCAGCACTCCAACTAAGCTGAGAGGTGGTAAGAATTCAGTTCCTATATCCCAGCGGCAGGGTTAAAAATTAAGTCTCTATGGATCAGAACAACCAACTCAAGTCTGCGACTTGCAGAGAAGAGCCTGCTCACTTATCCCATGGGCTCTGTATAGCCCTAAGTTGCAGAAAGGTGACTCCAAATGGAGCAGAACTGGGTACAATGCAGATGCAACATGAGCACTTCTAGAACACGATGGTACAATTTCCTCCCCATTCCCTTTACCAGAGCTCATCTCTACCAGCTCCTCCCTCGTGCAATCTCTGCCTCCCAGTAGGATGCTTCCAGAGACTGACTTTCCTGGTTTTGCTGGAAGTCTTGGGAACTCTTCCATATTCCTCACTTAATTGAAGCCTGGAAAATGTGCAGCTGGTCTCTCACCAGAGCTCATATGCTCATGTTCCCAGATTATATTAGGAGCTTTCTGAAATACCATCTTTAGTTTTCTGCAGAAATTTTTTTTGTTTTAATATAGATGGATAGATTTACTGAATATTCCCCCCCCACCAAATGTGCTAACAGTGGCATATATAACTGCATAAAGCAAAAATGGAGAATACACTTGGCTTACAAAAAAATAACCAAAAAACCCCTCAAACAAATAAAAAAACCAACCACACTCAGAGCTAGCTAACAGTCCATGAAAGCCTATAAAAGACACGTGTCTGAAAATACATGATTCCCAAGCACTGTAAAAGCACTTATGCTGCAGTTACACCACACTTTCAGTTAGGCAACTGTAACTTAAGTAAGTTTTTCAACATTCAGTGAATAAAAAGTGCTAATGTTCAAACTGAAAAAAGAAATCCCTCCCTCCTTACCCATATTAATCCATAAGGGCTGTTCTGTACCAATACCACAGACATCTTTCTCTTTCAAGAAGCCACCATCCTAGACTTTTCCACTTATCTTATTTGTGCAAGAGGTTTCTCTTTACCATAGTCCACTATGCTTTCAAGACTGAATTTCCAAAGTGCAGTTCCTCCCTTTTTAAAGGGTGTAGGGAGAGCTCAAATACGCCTTCATGGACAAGGTTTTGCAAAGCAAATCTCATTTCAGTGTTCTGGTCTGCAGCATAGCCCCACGAGCACTTATTGTGGCACCAGTGGCAAGGGTGACCAGTGGTGGTGAGCACTTCTTAAGGGAACTTCTCTGATGAAACCACTCTCTCTTGGAACCATCACTTCAAGCTCCCTTCCCATAAGGGAAGGCGTGCTGGAAATCAAACCACAAATTCTATCATTTCATGCCTATATTAACGTCAGCAGCACATGGGCACTTCAGGGAACCAATGTATTCTTCCGAGGTTCTCTTAAAAAGGTTCAAACAAAATAAATATTTCTCCCCAGAGAAATATATTACATTTTATAAATCTGGAAACAAAGATGCTTTTTTCCACATATGGATATATAGATCCTTAAAAAATATTTACAAGTAAGTACAGGAATGTAATTCATGCACATTGTTGCCACTAGCATTCTTTCTTCCCCGCATTCCAGTTAAAAGCTTCTGTGTGGTATTGTCACTTCTCACGCACTTCACATATCCTTGAATTGTTCATACCTTCAGTAAAGACATGTTAATCAACAAAGAAGCCTTGCAATTTAATGCTGAGTTATTCCACCCTTTAAGAAACCATGAGAAAATGGGAACCTCTCATCCAAAATTGGAGGGAAAAAATCCCACATTTTTCAACACTGAATCGTTAAAGTTGCACAGTAAGCCATTTCCTTCATTCAGGGGTTTAATTGTTTTATCCTCTTTTCATCCCACAATGAAAATAATTTTGCAACAATGCAAAGAATAGTAACACTTCTACAAGCCATGATCCATACTGCAATGTGCAGGAATCAAAAGAGTTCTTTTTACATGTCACTTGCAGATGCAAACATCTCTCTAAAGCTGATCTGTGTGAGGTCCTAAAATAAGTGCTTATTCTTTTTAAAAAAATGTTCTCCTTTAGACAGTAAAGAAATGTCTGGTTTGTCATACAGGGAAACAAATCAACGTTTGACTTTTTAAACCAGCAAGACCTCAAAAATGTGCTATAACTGATACATAATACTAGAATCACATCTTGTATTCCACTATTTCAGAAACACTCAACACAGTATGTTACTGACAACCATGGTCAGAACTACCATCGCTGCTGTGAGGTAAGTTTTTGGGAGGCTTGTTACAAATCAAGAGCCAGGACAAGAATAAAACTGTTTGCATAGCCGTATTATGAATCTTGCAAATATAAATACTTTTTTCCCCCTCAAAATTAAAGACTACTTTGCAGAATTTCCTAAATAACTAAACTGCATATTTCCTCAATAATTTCCTTAAGAAAGCCATTCTAAACCTGCTTCATTGAACATGTTTTCTGTCTTTAAGACTTAGTAAATGTCTGATCCCCAATGGGCTCAATTCTCAGATTTTTCATCATATGAAAGTACACAGGCAATAGTTTAGCCTGAGATGTACATCTGCTTCACAGTCAAGCTATTTGGGAAATTCTCCCTACCTGATATTTTTCCTTCTTCTAAAGTCTTTGTTAGTCCAGACATTTAGGCATAATTCCTTGCTGTCAGCAAATGAAGTCGGTACACAAGTTTTTTCAGTAATGTCATCACCTGCACATAAAGGGATTGCCAGGTCGTCAAGGGGACTTGACATGTTAAAGATCTAATGATAACTTTTTCAATATTTAACTCATGTGTTCTAGAATAAAGATCTGAAACTACATAAAATAAGGCTAATCTGAACAAAAACAGAACTAAGAGGGGGAATTACAAAATCAAAACCAGATCTAACATAATTTCTGTAGTTTTTTTAATTCTCTATGCCTTCCCCAGAGATTTGTACCTTTCCAAGTACAAATCTGATCACTGTAGCCCACCATGTTAGTAAGGCAATTCATCCAAACCGTCATCTGCAGTAGCCAGAACATAATTCTGTAGTGCTTGGCGACTGTATGAAGTAGAACGTAGAGGCAACTGATTAGGGTGCCAGTAGAAATGTTATAAATTTTTTTTTAAAAGTTAAACTGTCGCAGAGACACTGAAAATTGCTAGGGCAGCCTTCCAATGACCAGGGTAGACTCATTTTTTGACGAGTTACTTATTCCCAGCAATGCATCTGGTGGATTTTGATCAATAGTCTTAAAACTTCACAGAAAGTGAAGAGGTCATACAACTGACTCTCCATATTTAACAGATAAATTCCTAGCACCTGACAAACACGCAGACAGACAGACATGCAGACAGACAGAAACCAATCCTCTTTCTTTGGTGCTACTACCGACAAAAGCAGCAGGAAGCAATGCATCCAAAGCAGTGACCAGTCATTGTAAAGATGGGATTTGGGTATGTCTTCAGGGAATGGTGACTGAAGCATCAGTTTACTACATTCAGTGTCCAGACCAGCAGCTACACAGTGAATGTGTAAATCAAGCCTTAAGAAATCTCTTTGCAACAATCAAGTTTCAAATATATTTTTAATCAGTGACAATGTATTTGCTGTGTTAGCTGTCATGAAAAGCATCATCATAACCGGTAATGTCACACTCTGCCCTTGACACAAAGGTACATCTTGAATGTCTCCACAGTGGAAGTGTTATTCTTCCTTCCTTTTGCTATGGCACTGAAAACCTGAAGAGAAGACTTCAAGTGTGGGCCTTTTTAAATACAAGGCATGGTTTGAAGCCTTGGACATACACCACTTTGGAAAGCATACTGACTTGTACCAAAATGTGATCTGTGGATCCTTTCAGTTCTACTAATGACAATCTGCAAAAATTACTATGAAAGGCAAACCTATATAAACTATGCAAGTAATTAAATATATGTGTATTTTAAAGGAGCCTGTATCTTCACTGGTAAACTCCTACAAGTTTATAAAATCAGTGAGAAAAATGGCCTAAAACCACCACTGCAGAAGTACCTAAAATTTTCTGGGGTGATACCAGGAAACGTTTGTTCTCACTATGTCTGGACAATGCTTTCTTGTTGACTTCAAAAACAAAATCCTTTTGAAGCAGTAAACCTAGACTGGCACTCAGTCTCTCTGCTAGACTATTGAAAGTGTCAAGAACTCATAAAACCACTGCCAGGCGAATGGCTTTGCCAAGAGGTAGCACACAGCTTCATTTCCCTGTCTTACAGACTAAGGCTGCAAACAGCACTTATTGGAATGAGTCATCCAGGTCACTAAGATACTTCTAAACAGATACTACAGCTTCACAAAGCACACTGTGTTGAAGCTAGCTGTTCAAGGCAGTAGGTATAGCTCCAGAAACTTATTGTTCTTCAACATTATTCAGAAACAAGAGCTTCTTTCTCTGTATTTTCAAGCAAGGCCTGCAAACAGAATGCAAGGAGAAAGTGAAACTAACAGACCTAACTCCAAAATCCACAAATACTAAAGAAACTAGGAACAGGAAAAGCTTTCCCCCCTGCACCATCTGAGAACAACTCCAGTTCCTCCACAAACTGAAAGGCAACTAAGGGATACTAAAAAGCAGCAGCACTGTGTAAAGCCCTCAGCATGAAGTACAAATACAGGCAGATAGCACGTGCGCTGGATGAGGAGCTGCTGACAAAGCACAAAGATTTCCAAATGAACGTGCATGCACAATTAGTGGAACATGCAAATGAACAGTTAAGTCAAAAGAAGAAATTAATTTGAAATAGAAGGCATCACAGTATTCAACTACAAGTCGAAACCACTTCATATTTGACTGCTAGGTTCCTCTTTACATTTGACTCCATTCTCAGAGAAAGAATTGTCCCATGCAGCACTTCAGAATCTCTTATTCTTCACACTTTGCAAATGGAAACTAATGGCATTGCTAATGCTCCATCCCACCAAAGAATGGGGCAACATAAAAGCAGTTCAGTAGAAAGGATGTCACAGTTTCTAAAACTCAACTGTCTGAAACAATTCTCCTTCAAATCACCAGGAGCAAGTAAAATGGCTAGAACATAACCCAGGAGAATAAAAGATAAAACTGTTCATGGGTATTCATTCTCCATGCCGGAAAATGAAGCAAGTCCGATGAGCAACCAGGGATTTTTAATGAAGCAATATATTCCATTCTCCATGCACAAACTGAAAAAGTGTGACACAGAAACAGTAGTAGAAAACAATGCCGTTTTCTTGAAGACTATAAAAAGAGAAGTAACATTACAGGTTGGTCCAAGCCAGGAATTCTATATAAAGTCCTAAATGCAAAAAGGATAACAAACTACCCCAAATAGGTGCATTCAGGATTTTGAGGTATAGTTTTCACTGCAATATAATGTCAGCATGGACAAGTTGTTTTCATAAACTTTAGTGATAGTAGTGCTTTTATTTTTCCTTCTCTTTCATTCCTTCTGTATTGCATCTTATGGTACTTTGAAGGTTCCTGACTTGCAAAAACTTAGAGATACAAAAGTCCACTATAATTGTACTTACGATGCAAGAAGCAATCATATTTAAAACAGCGCCTACAAAAGAGTGTATGAAAAGAGTGCAGGCTTTGCTCCCTCTGAACAGATTTAGCATTTGGTCCATCTATGTTTGGTGTGCATTCAGGAGGAAGAGCTCCAGGAAGCTGCTGCTCAGTGAGTTCTTTGTATCTTAAAAGAAAGAGAAGTTATTTGTTCAGAAATAATAATAATAACAACAACAACAACAAATAACTACAACAACAGCAACAACAATAAATAACTACAACAGCAGCAGCAACAACAACAAATTTTTTATTGCAGTACCCCTCTACATTTTCAGTGACAAATTAGCAATATTTTAAAAATATGTGCCAGCTACAAAAACAATCTGTCAGTAATGTGACAACTTATTAATTCCATACTCATTAATACAAACATAAAATTGATATAAAATTGGCTGGGAAAAATGCATTTGTTTTCTGCACCATCATCTCCTCATATATATTACTCAGTAACTCCAAAAAGGAGACTTTTTTTTCCTTAACAGAAGTTTTTACTTTGTCACCTCAGAAAAACCACATGCAAGCACCTACTTGTCAATAGTTTGAAAGGAAGGCTGGTATTGTTTGACAGTTGGTGAGAATAGCCAATTCCCTTCAAGAATCACATGCAGAAGTTGTATAACTGCCACAGAACTAAGCTGCAAGGGTGCCCATTCCTAATCAAAAATTATTTAGCCAAGTGAAGGAATCTTTGTTTCATAATGCAACACAGTAACGCATCTTAAGAAATACTTTCTTACTTCTCTTTTAATTCTTCTGCTGTACCCTTGTCTGGAAACATTGAGGAAATGGCTTCAAATATCTTGTCAGAAGGAAATCTCCGAGGTGGGTGGCTTTCTTTCTCTGTCAAGGAAGCAAAAAATTTGGAAAACAAAAAAAATTATATTTCTGCTCCTTTGCTACTTCAAGAAGGTGTTCAGAGAATGAGGTGAAATCTCAAAAATCCTAGTAAAAAAACAAAGGAGCAAAGGTTTTTATTTCTAAATTACAGACAATTTAAACTGCATTAAGTGATCTTTCCTGCT